ATATGGCACAGTGGTTAGAAGTGTAAACTCCATTTCCAGACTGATTAATCAGAACCCCTATATGCCTGGGTTTCCTCATCTGTAAAGTGGAGATAATAAAAATAGCTATTTGATTTGGACTGTTAAAGGGATTAAATGGACATATCTAAGGTGCTTAGAACTGTGCCTGGCAAGTAGTAGGTGCTAAACAAATTTTAGTTATTATGCATAATATCATGAAATGATTTTTGAAACTATAAACCCAGAAAAATTAAGAAAGCAGGAGGGGACCCTCAGCACCCAGAATATTTTAACAAACTTTTGGAAGATGGAAACTCAAATAGAAGAGTAGTGACCAATGAAGCAGACTGACAGAGCCCGCAGCCTGAATACACATGTAACACCTGGGAGACTGCGTACCTTGTACAGAGCCCTGGAGCCGCAGGTGGCCCAGAATGCCAGCTAAGAAGGTGGGCAGGAAAACCAAGGGACTAACTGAAAATATCTGAGAGACTGCCAGCTCCCTCTGCCCCACCGTCAGACTGTTTACTATGCAGGTGTTATTGCTGAGGCAAAGCATTAGTGGATTCTTCTCTTCTTAAAAAAAATGGAATAAACTGACTTAGAGGAGCTACTGTGGGTCCTGGGCATTCCCAAACAAAGAATCCTTCAAAAATTGATCTTTTTATGTTCCTCAGATGAGTTTTCAGCTGCTATCTCTGAATTTACAACTGACTTGAAATCATTTTCTGAGGTGTTTCTCTGAAGTTGAGGGCTTCTCCTGAGCAAGTCTTAGCTCCCCAATCTTCCTCCGTAAAGTTCAGATCACACTCACATGGCTTTTGATCAGACTCTTTAACCAGAATTTTGATCAGTCAGCTTTGCAATCGCCTAATTTTCAAACATGAATTGAAAACAATGGATCTGTACACATTTGAGGAAAGCTGGTAATGTGAAAAATCTCAACATAAAGGTAAATAGTAATTAGCCTTGGAGGAAACAGATCATTCAGGAGACAGATGAACTCTATTTGGATTAGTACTGGTAAAGATAATTTGTATATCAGACCCACAAAATGGGGATGACCTCAGTGGCCTGGCGCAAGTCACAAATCTAAATCCAGGTCAGCCAGCGCTTAAAGGAAACACCTGTCAACGAAACCTAGTATACACCAATCACAATCCCCCCAACTCAGCTTTACCTAGTTTACCTGACCCTAGAAAACAGGACATGCTACCCTTTAATGAATCCCTGGCCTCCTGGCCAATCACGCCTCTTTCCTCTAAACCTACCTTTACTCTCCGCCCCCCGAACCCCCGGCCTTCCCTTTGGAGCAGCACTCCCTTGCCGTGAGACATGTGCTCCTCCCGCCTACGGATCCTTTTCCCTTGACAAAGAGCAACAAGCTCATTGTAGTTTTGTCATTTGACAGTATTACAGGAGAGATTTTAAAAAATTATGTTGGCTGAGAAAATTAGATCTCGTGAAAGAAAGAGACAACAAAGAAGGGCTGTGGGAAATTGAAAGTATAATTGCTGAATTTAGAATTACTATTGGAAAGTTGGAAGATAGTGAAGAGAGTACAGCCAAAGGATGGAGAGAATATATGAGCAAAAAAAAAAAAAAAACTTTGGTGATAAATTCCCATCTGAATAATGGAAATACCAGAAAGAGTGAAAATAGAATAGTAGGCAGTAGGAAATTAACAAAGAAATTATAGAAGATAATTTCCTGGGACTGGTGGGAGGCCCACACATTCAGCTTGAAACAAGTCCACTGGGTTCACTAAATGGAGAAAGACCCACACCAAGACACAATAACTTTGAGATTTTATAACCCATGGATAAAAGAGAAAACCCTAAAAAGATACAGGAAAGATGGAAACTAACACCAAAGAAATACAGACAGGTATGTACTAGGAGCGGAAACATTAACCAGTCTTAAATTATTTAGAATAAAATACTTCTGTTGTGGGACTTGGTTTTGTGAGGCTTCGGAGTCCTGACTAACCTTGCTGACTCAGTACCCTGGAGAAGTTACTTATGATTTCTCAGGAAATTGCAACTTGTTCTGGGTGTTAGTTCCTCAGATGTGTTCTTGCTGCTTCCCATTAAAAGGACAAAGAGAATAGTTGTATTTATTTTCTACATTCTCCTTCCATTCAGCTGGGACTCTGGATAAACTTCCAGGTAAGTAAATTACCATCTCTGGCAAAAGTGCTTTTCCACTTATGACCCTCTTATTTCTCATACTCTTGTTTCTCTCTTTGGAGGCAAAACGGCAGGCCCTGGAGTCACACAGATGGGGACTTAAATCTTTCCACGACACAGCAGCAGCACTGGTACTCTTAGCACTGCAGTTAAAGAGCATGAAACCTGGAGAGGGCCTTGGCGATCTCCCCAGAAAGGCCCCGGGACTAGCAAAACTGACCCTCGAACTTTGTAGACGTGCAGGAGTGACTCCAGTTAGTCTGTTGCCACCCTGTGCTTATTTATCTCCAGGGAAGCCAGCGGTGAGTGTAGCCCTGTGCTAGAATCTGAGAGGATGGGGCAGCCCGTTCCAGTTTGTTTGAGACAAGTCAGGTGTCCTACTTTGGGCTGCGTGACCGAAGCAGCATAGAATATCCCTCCTTAGCTGAGAGAGTGGTTTCCCTGAGGCAAAGGTACCTAGCATGTATCTAGGTGGTTCATTACCTAAAATGAAGCACGGGCTGTATAATGGAGAAAGGTTCCTAGAAGCTGGGCCTGGAGTCTGAGACCACACTGATGTTTGCCTGTCTTTTGTTTTTATTTTTGTATCATATCTTTTAACTTTATTAAAGTCTAAAGTAAGTATACTATGTAGAGGCTTGTGAGTGTTTTCTATTATCTGACCCTGTGTACTTGCTGAAGTTGGCACTGTGAATGGGATTATGGGAACAATTTTTGACTTGATTATTTAAATGCTGGCTCAGGCTTTGTTTAGGAGAAAAAAAAGTGGGAGAACTACCTAGAACCACTGATGCCAGGCTGGCTGATGAAGGCATCCTGATTTCAATTCACTCTAGAACTATAATTATTCATGGGGGGAAAACATACCAATAGATTTTTTTTTTGCTATTTTTAAAAATTGAAGTATAGTTGATTTATGGGCCTTCCTAATAACTCAGCTGGTAAAGAATCTGCCTGCAATGCATAAGACCTTGGTTCCATTCCTGGGTTGGAAAGATCCCCTGGCGAAGGGATAGGTTACCCACTCCTGTATTCTTGGGCTTTGCTGGTGGCTCAAGACAGTAAAGAATTAATCTGCAATGCTGGAGACCTGGGTTTGATCCCTGGGTCAGGAAGATCCCCTGGAGGGTGGCATGGCAACCCTCTCCAGTATTCATGCCTGGAGAATCCCATGGACAGAGGAACCTGGTGGACTGCTGTCCATGGGGTCACAGAGAGTCAGACACGACTGAGTGACTAAACACAACACAGCACAGCATGTATCCGTTAATCCCCAATTCTTAATCTATCCCCTCTCCTCCCCGCCACCCCCAGCAATGGAATTTAAAGGTGGTAGACCCAGAGCCAGTGGAAGCATTTAAATAGGTTAAAACAGAAATTCAGAGAGGAGAATTCCGTCAAAAACAGCGAGGAAAACGAGGCAGGCCTCAACAGCCAGCCCAGTGTCAGGTAACCTTCTCCCCCTTTTCATGGTCTGGGCTGCTTTGGCAAAAATGAAAGTACTAAGAAAGTACTAATGAAAGTACTAAGGAAGAGCCCTAGGCTGCCAAGTCCACCAGGCTTTGGCTGGTTTTTTCTGTAAAGGGAAGGAACTTGAAACCAAAGGGAGAGTTGAGCAGATACTTCTTTTGGCCGGAACGTGACCCTTACCTGCTAACCGCTAAAGGAATTCTATGGGGAGAGCACATGAAGACAGAAACTGAAATGAAGACGCTCTTCAGTCAAAAGCCCAGTAACCTTGTGGACTGATGAGAGCTTCTTGAGGAACTGCTGCTGAAGTGGACTTACATCTTTGAGACAAGAGTTCTTTACACTGAGTACTGCCAGATGAAGGGCATGCCTGGGCTTAAACAAGATCTTCAGTGAGCTGCAACTTCTGCAGAAATGTGGGTAGATGGGCAAATTCCAAAGCAGCTGAGCCTGATTAAGGCGGGGCACACAGCAAAGTTGGTCACTGGAACTATCCAACTCCACCTGTAGGCATTAAATACTTTGTTGATTCCTGAAATGTTGAGAATGCAAGCATGTGTCTTTGAACTTGTTATGTGATGATACAGAGTTCCCCTAATCTATCCTTTTGTCCTAAGTGATACTATGATAAGGGAGCCTCCAGGTACTTGGACTCCATAGGTGACCTTAGTGTTGAAGGCAGGATAAAGGTCCGCTGTTACAGACCTACTAGCATATTTTCTCTGAATTAGAGTAAATTATAAGCAGAAGAGCAATGTAATTCAGAAGAAAAAACAAGAGTAAAGGGTTGAAACACAGCAGAGGAAGGAGAGGGTGGGACGAACTAAGAGCAGCATTGACATATATGCAGATGTATGACAGGTATGTGTAAAGCAGGTAGCTATTCAGAAGCTGCCTTGGAGCGCAGGGAGCTCAGCTGGGTGCTCTGTAATGACCTAGAGGGATGGGATGGGCGGGGGGCGTGGAAGGGACGCTCTAGACGGAGGGGATATATTCACATCTTGTATGGGCTTCCCTGGTGGCTTAGCTGGTAAAGAATCTGCCTGCAATGCAGGAGACCCAGGTTTGATCCCTGGGTGGGGAAGATCCCCTGAAGAAGGAAATGGCAACTCACTCCCGTATTCTTGCCTGGAGAAGCCCATGGACAGAGGAGCCTGGTGGACTATAGTCTGTTGTACATCAGAAGCTAACACAACATTGCAAAGCAATCATCCTCCAATTAAAAAATATGGTATAGCCAGCAAAAAAATAAAAAAGAAAGAAAGAAAAAGGGTTTAAACAAATCTCAGAACTAGTAAACCAAGTGACGATGTTCATGAACCTCTTTTTTTCCCTTTTCAGAAAATGGCCGCCCAGGAGAAAGCCCCTGAGGAGAGGATTTCTCGGTTTGATTATGCTTTGCTCCCAGAGATGTCTGCTTTTCTAGGTATAAATGCCCTTCAATACGTAAAGGAGATAGAAGAACAAGAGCACAAAGACAGAGAAAAAATGCAAAAAGGCTTTAATTCCCAAATGCGTAGTGAAGCAAAAAGGTTAAAGACTTTTGTGACGTATGACACCTTCAGCTCATGGACGCCCCAGGAGATGGCAGAAGCTGGGTTTTATTTCACTGGCACAAAATCTAGCGTTCAGTGCTTCTGCTGTAGCTTAATCCTCTTTGGTACTAGCCTCCAGAGTCCCCCCATGGGACACCACAGGAAATTCCATGCAGACTGTGAGTTCCTTCTGGGTAAAGATGTTGGCAACATTGCCAAGTGTGATGTAAGAGTTCAGAATCCAGAGAACATGTTGAGGAGGGACGACAAGGCCAGGTACCAGGAAGAGAAGGCCAGACTTGAACCCTTCAAGAACTGGCCATTTTATGCCTAAGGGACGGCCCCAGGGGAGCTGTTGGCTGCTGGCTTTGTCTTTACAGGTAACTTGAAATCATTTTCTGAAATATTTCACTGGAATTAAGTTTAGGTTCAGTTGCAATATTTTGCTCAGTTGCAGTATTTTGTAAATCTTTCCTCACTTGGTCAACATGCTATACTAGGTACATCTATTTCCTCAAGATTCAACTTCAGTAATTTTACTTTAGCTTTAATACAGCATGTCAGTTTACCAAAAATAGATGCAAAATAAAGTGACTTTTTCTAAAACTTTGGACATTAGATAATACTTGACTGGTTTTCTAAGGCCCTGAAAATAAACTGTGAGGTCAGCCTGACCCTAGTCTCCTTCTTACCCATCCTCCTTTTACTGCTCTTAAATGGTTGTTCTCTGATTCTTTTAAATGCTTCTTTTAAATTCTTAAATGGTTGTTCTTTTAATTGCTGCAGTATTGGAGGGTGTTGGTGTGTGTTTGACCTTAAGTTTAATTATAACATATAGGTCAAGTTGCATTTCAGAAAAGTGTGTGTGTGTGCTCAGTCACTGAGTCATATCCACCTCTTTGTGACCCTGTGGACAGGGGCCCACCAGTCTCCTCTGTCCATGGAATTTTCCAGGCAAGAATGCTGAATAAATTGTCCATTGTTTGAGTTGTCCTAGCCACGCCATATGTGTCATGACAGGTATGAGTGAGAATCCTGATTAATACATACGGCTGTCATTTACTGAGTACCTTCTTGATGCTAGGCCTACCACCCCCACCAGGCACGGATTAAGCACTTGCACTAATCCAACAAACTTGTCCTTTTCCTGCCTTTCTCAGCCAATGTCACTGAGGCCCAAAGAGTTTATGAACTGTGCCTAAGAATATTCAACAGAGACCTACTGTATAGTACAGGGAACTCTGCTCAGTGTTCTGTGACAGCCTAGCTGGGAGGGGGGTTTGGAGAGAATGAATACGTGCATATGTGTGGCTGAGTCCCTTTGCTGTCCACTTGAAACTGTCACAACACTGCTAATCGACGATGTGCTGTGCTGAGTCGCTCAGTCGTGTCTGACTCTCTGTGACCCCGTGGACTGTAGCCCGCCAGGTTCCTCTGTCCATGGGATTCTCCAGGCAAGAATGCTGGAGTGGGTTGCCAAGCCCTCCTCCGGGGGCTCTTCCCAACCCAGGGATCAAACCCAGGTCTCCTGCTTTGCAGGCGGATTCTTTACCATCTGAGCTACCAGGGGAGTGACTACTGCAATATAAAATAAAATTTAAAAAAAGAAACAGAATATTTAAATTCCATCTTGGGTATACTGCACAGTGCTCGACACACAGTACATGCTTCCCTGCTGGCTCAGCGGTAAAGAGTCCGCCTGCAGTGCGGGAGACCCAGATTCCACCCCTGGGTCAGGGAGATCCCCTGGAGAAGGAAATGGCAGCCCACTCCAGTACTCTTGCCTGGAGAATCCCATGGACAGAGGAGCCTGGGGAGCCACAGCCCATGAGGTCGCAAAGACCTGGACATGACTGAGCATCCAACACTTTCATATGTTGGATATATGATATGTTAATTGTTACTATTATTGCTAATTAATAGCAGAAGCTTGAAGAAATTCATATTGATAGTGTTACCCAAGTTGGATGTAAAGAAGAAAATTTAAAAGATTTCTAGTATAGGATTCCCCAGATGTCACAGTGCACTTATCACTTATTTCTTCAAGATGTTATAGTTAATGTCCTAATTGACCAAGAGACTGAAGCAGAGAAAATGCAGAGAAACAACATCTTTCTGTCATGTTCACAATGGTTGGAGTCTGTAGTTTGACTTTAATTTGCCTACCAGTTTGTGTACCATTTATATCTCAAAATGCCTAAACTGCAGTTGGTTTTCTTCTTAGTTTTGAAAGCTGATCCTTTTGTAATTCCCCTAAAAACAGTTGTCAAAAAGAAAAATATACTTGTTGAACATACACCTCAGAAGTAGAAAAAAATATGCCCAAGTTTCCACAGAAATTTCATAGCAAAGCTACGGCTTAGGTCTTCTGTTCTTTACTTCATGAGTATAGGGTTCCTTTGCTTTCCCACTGCTTCGGTGGGCATGTTGAGTTCAACAGCTTGGAGTTCTGTGTGTGAGGTATGGCCACTGCTGAGAGGTGAGGTTCAAGGCTTCAAAAATGGTCACTGAGGGCAGTGGGACTGTGGATGGGGATTCAACCAGATGAGAGTGTGAATGAGCAGACGTGATGGAGCACGTCTCATCCATGCCCAGGGCAGTCAGCTTGCAGAGACACCCCTTCTGGACGATCCCATGGTGCTGTTGCCAGGCAATCTAAGTGTCTTGCTTCATATGTAGGTAAACGTGACATTGTCCAGTACTTTTCCTGTGGTGGATGTTTAGGAAATTGGGAAGACGATGATGATCCCTGGAAGGAACATGCCAAGTGGTTCCCTAAGTAAGCAGATAAATATTTTTTGCTTGTAATTTTTTTTAAGACAAAGCAAAACTAAAGCATCACCTTCCCAGAGCAGAACTTTCAGTTTTGACCTTTCTCCTTCCTAAATAAGAATGCTCCAGAATTTATTCAAGCAAGAAATCCCTGATGACATTGTGAAGTTTTTTATTTATATGATTTTGAAATAGTTTCTTAATATTGTTTTATTATCCAAAATACTAAGATATGATTTGCCAAGTAGAAGTTTCAGAATCTGCCTTAATAAATATGGATAATTTATATTGGGATGATGTAAAGTTGTTTAAAACCTCATTACAAATGGTTTCATGTACTGCTCAATATATACCAAATGTAAACATTATATTTCAAAAACTCAGTAAGAGTTTTGATTATTACAGTGGTGTTGAGTTCTCTGCTTAAAAAATGACATGTTTTTGAAATTATTTCTGATGTTACATTTACTAGTATTTTTCTACATGATTGTATCTACCAAATATGAATTCATTCCTTTAAAATTTTTAAAACTTTCATTCTGGAAAATTTCATATGCAAGTATAGAGACCACTTATCAACACATGGCCAAATCATATTTCATTCACTTCTCACATACCTTTCCCCAGAAATAAAAATAACTAGATTATTTTAAAGCAAATCCCAGATATTGTATAATGTCACTTGTTGATATTTTAGCATATAACTCTAAAATGCAAGAATATTTTTTAAAAACATAACCATAGTATGATTCTGCCTCCTAAAGAGGATTAGCAGTAATTCCTCAATCACATAAAATATCTGAGGCAGTGTTCAAATGTCCACATCCCCTCTCTCTTTACTGTTTACTCTCTTTACTGATTTGAATTAGGATGCAAACAGGGTCCATAAGTTACATTTGGTTGATGTCTCAAGATTTTTAGTTTACAAATTTCCTCCTCCCTGACATTTTCTTGTCACTTTCTCATGAAAGGAGCCGTGTAGTCCGTCCTGTAAAACTTCCAGCCCTGGGTTTGGCTGAATGTTTTTCTGGTGTCATTTAACATGTTTCTCTACTTCCTGTATTTCCTGTAATCTAATAATTGGATCTGCAGTGGGCTTTGGCTCATTTTATTTAACATACTGGTCATGTACCTACCACATGCAAAGAAGTTGCTGGTTAGATCTTAGGTCAACCACAAAAAACCTGGGCTGTTGTTTAGGATTACATGTCACCTTTCACATAGACAGCCATGCTCACAAAAATGGAAGGATGTCTGATCTGTTCAGTAAGGAGAAAAGCAATATGAATGCGTGGTGTATGGACTTGTTTGAAATATATGGAGGAAAAAGTTAAAATATACAAATCAAACAATCGGTATATTAAGGTTTGGGTTTGTCAGGAGATGAGGTGGAGAGGGATTTTCACATTTTACTTTGTTCACCTCTATCTTGTTTAAATTCTGGGAAACGTATTTCTTTTAAAGTTGTAAAGACAGTGAGGGGGTGGGAGGGAGGAAGAGAACAGAAAAGAGAAGGGATTGGGGGAGAGAGAGATGGAGAGGAAAGAGGAAGGAAGGGGAGCTCTTCCTGACAAGCAGATGAAACAGTTATAGGGATGCATGAAGCCATATGGTTAAATATTGATTACTTTTTGGCCGTGCTTCACGGCTTCTGGGATCTTAGTTCCCCAATCAGGAATCAAACCCACATCCTCTGCGGTGAAAATAGAGAATCTTAACCACTGGACCACCAGGGAGCTCCCCCAGATAGTTAAATACTTTGAGCATCATTCTGGTCCGTTGACCAATCAAAAACAGACACCCAGCCAGTCATACTTAGTGTTGGCAGTGCACCGCCTGGGTATGTACCGAGTGACCATCAAGCCTGGCTCTTGGGCACCTGTCTCAGCTCTGGCCTCAGCCAGTGCTTCACTTATCCTTAGGGCCACAGTGTTTAGTGTCCCCGGGCTGGATGCACCCAGCAGCACCATTCACACACACCCGCAGGCGATGGTCTAGCAACCAGCCAGAGTGCAATTGCTGTGTCAGGCGGCCCTCACACACCTTCCCTGATGCACAGCCTAGGGAAAGGTCGGAGCGCCGGGGCAAGATGTGAGCCCTGGGCTCAGCCCCAGGTCGGGAGGGAGCTCAGGTTTGCTGCTGCCAAGGGGAGGGCAGAGCGCAGAGGCTCGGAGGTGCCCAGCGCTGCTTCCGACACCCAGACCCTAGCCGTGTTACTGAACCTCCGCATCTCGTGTGTCAAGACAAATGATAGTCCCTAGCTGGTTGGTTGTTGTAAGGATTGTAAACAAAGTATATGGAGCAAATGCCTTGTAAAAACTACCATGTATTATATGACCATTTCACCTTTCACCTGTTTGTCATCACGAGTATATGGTCAGCCAGTGTATTTCAGAGCTGGAATTAGAACTAATAAGACTCCTCCAATTTCTTGTTGATTGTTCCCTAACCTTAACTGTTTGGGCATCATTTTAAAAATAGGTATTTATGTATTGGCTGCTTCGGATCTTAGTTGTGGCACATGTTATCTTTGTCACGTCATTCGGGGTCTTTCCTTTGCCCGTGGACTCTCTCGTTTTGGTGCGTGGGCTCAGTCAGTAGTTGAGGGGCTTGGGCTTTGTTGCTCTGCAGCATGAGATCTTAGTTCCCCGACCAGGGACGGAACCTGCGTCTCCTGCATTGCAAGGTGGATTCTTAACCACTGGAGCATCAGGAAGTCCCTGGGCATCACTTTTTGCTTTGTTTCTGCTTTTACAAACTGTGGACACAATGTCTGAGTATGTTCCTGCAATTTAGAATGTAGTACTCAGTGCACTGCGTGTGTGTTATCTCTCAGTCCTGCCCGACTCTTTTCGACTCCATCAACTGTAGCCCGCCAGGCTCCACTGTCCATGGGATTTCCCAGGCCAGAATACTGGAGTGGGTTGCCATTCCCTTCGCCGGGGGAGCTTCCCAACCCAGGGATCGAACCCAGGTCTCCCACATCGCAGGCAGATTCTTTACCATCTGAGCCACCAGGAAAGCCCACTCAGTGTACTAAATCATTGTAAATAAATAAAATGATTTTTATTGTGTTTTTAAAAGAAGCACTATGTATTGAGCTCCTTCTCAACCCACTGTAAGCATGTGGGGAGGCCCCATCCCTCATGTGCTATGTGGATTGTGTGCAGATTTGGGTTGTGTATGGATTTGAGTTGTGTGGGGACTTAGAGCCCTCCTTGGAAGGATCTGTACACCTAAAACCTGGGGACTCAGCGGCCCAGAGCGGTGGTCCCAGAGCAATGTATGACTCTTCTAATGGAGTTCACTTCCTCACGTCTTTTCGAGAGAACAGTGGCGAGATTGACTGCTTTGGGCAGGGGAGGTGGTGTGACAGAAAGAATAAAAAGGTTTATCTCCTCCCCGTGAGTGGCGGAAGTGGAACTAACACTCTAGCCTCTTCACTCTCAGCCCACTTGTTACTCTAATGTCACTAGAAAGGAAGCTTAAACTTGTAAGAGAGAGATTTTTAAAAAGTTAACTTAAAATTGCTTCTGTTTTGTGGAAAGGAATGTGTTTTTTAAGTGTATGCAATATGCTCTTTTTAAAAAATTCTATCAATTAATTTCCACTGTATATTTCTAAGGAGTAGTATATATGTTTTTCAATAGATGACATTTATTATTGTTTGTTAGCTTTACCACCTAAGTAGTTTTTCATGTAAGCCTAGGAGCTAGTTTGTCACTGTAGTTTAGCTTAACAAAAACACCTCCAATCTAAATATTGTTATAAATCCATCTCTTTGATTATATTATGTTTTGTTTCAGGATGAAAGATAATCTGAAGATTTAGTTTTGCATTATTACACATGTTATCATTAATGGAAGTAGTAATTATATGATAATAAAGATAACTGTCATAAATTTTGGGGTAACTTTTTTGACAGTTTATCAAAGTAAAAAAGAATTGAGCAATTTAAAGTACACAATGCAGTAAGTTTTAACGAATGTATTTTGTGTCACTGCAGTTATAAAGATACAGGATATCTCTATCACAGTATCAGGGCAAACTTTAATTTTGTTTGTTTGTTAATTATAGATGTGAATTTCTTCAAAGTAAGAAATCCTTAGAGGAAATTACCCAGTATATTCAAAGCTACAAGGGATTTGTTGACGTCATGGTAATTAATTATTCTTCTTAGTTAATTTTTATTGGATGGTACGTGCTTTACAGTGTTGTGTTGATTTCTGCTGTGCAGCAAAGTGAGTCAGGTGTATGTGTACATATATACATATATACATACATATATATACATGTATACATATGCTGTATATATACAGATATACATATCTACATATACATATACACACATATACATATATACATGTATACATATGCTGTAGATATACAGATATACATATATACACACATATATACATGCATACACACATGCACACATACATACACACATATACATATCTACATCTACATACATATACATACATACATGTATACACATACATATATACATGTATACATGCACACACATATACATGTATACATACATACACATACACACATGCACATATACATGTATACACACATACATGCACATATACACATATACATACATACATGTATATACATATATACACGCACACATACACACATGCATATATACATGTACATACATGTATACATACATGTATGTACACGTATACACAATACATATATGCATGTATACATATATACATACATATACGTGTATACATACATACATGTATATATATACATATATACATATGCTGGGAGCAAAGTTGCTTAGCCATGTACAGCTCCTTGCAACCCCATGGACTGTAGCCCACCAGGCTCCTCTGTCCATGGGATTCTCCAAGCGAGAATACTGGAGTGGGTTGCCATTTCCTACTCCAGGGGATATTGCCGAGCCAGGGATCGAACCCACGTCTCTAATATCTCCTGCACTGGCAGGTGGGTTCTTTACCACTAGTGCCACGTGGGAAGCGCTGTACATATACCCCCTCTTTTTTGTATTTCCTTCCCATTTAGGGCACCATGGAACATTGAGTGGAGTTCCCTGAGCTCTACAGTAGGTTCTCATTAGTTATCTATTTAGCATCATGGTAATTTATAAAAAATTTTTTATAAATTAATTAGAATGAGGCGAGTACATCCCTCTTTTGTCATGGCCTCTCCTTCTTCCTTTATTCCATTCCCTACCTCTCACTGGGCAGGGGGAAGAAAAATATGTTCTTTTGGTCAACTAGAGTCCTTAGAATGGTCTGCCTTCCTGGTAGTTCTCTCCTCTTGGACTGAGGTCAGCTCCTCCGGCTTCCCTAGGGCACCCCACTCTGAGCGTCCTCACGAGACATTCAGACCACAGGACGCTACCCACAGTAAGACTCAGAGATGGTTACCCTATGCTCTATCGGTATGACTTCCCTAGTGGCAGGTGTTGGGAAAACCCATCTTACACAGGCTTATGCCAAAAAAGAAAAAAAGTGCGGAGGGCTGGATTTATTGGCTAACATGACTCAGATGAGAACCCTGCAGGGGCAGAAGTGTTTCTTCAGAGAGAAATCTGGGTGCAGTTTTCAGAGAAGAATCAGTTACTCAACACTTAACCTTCCCTCTGAATGCAGTTTCCTTCCTATATCTCATACCTTCCTCATTAGTCAAAGGACCTCTGTGATACCTTATTGTAACTTAGCTTTTTGAGTTGGATCTCTGGAAAAACTGACCCAGAAAAGGCTTCTTGTTGAGTATAAACATCCACAGGTTTTCTTTTCCCATAACACTGTAAAAATGTCAATATTAATATAAATAATAATTAGAGGAATAATCCTCTAACAACTCTACCATTCAATTCAGTGAAACTCTTAATTTACAGGCAGCGGGTGGAGGAGGGAGTTCTTTTAATTTTTGCTCATAGATAATAATATACTTCAAATCAGTAACTTGAAGTTTTTTAAATTGAGATATAGTCGATGTATGCCTCAAACTAAAATATTATACAACACAATGATTCACAATTTTTAAAGGTTATACTCCATTTATAGTCACTGTAGAATATTGGATATGTCCCCTGATATATAGTTATATCATACCTCTATATGTAATATATAGATATATATAGTGAATGGGAATTCCCATGTGGCTCAGATGGTGAAGCGTCTGTCTGCAATGCAGGAGACCCAGGTTAGATCCCTGGGTCGGGGAGATCCCCTGGAGAAGGAAAAGGCAGCCCACTCCAGTATTCTTGCCTGGAAAATCCCATGGACTGAGGAGCCTGGTGGGCTACAGTCCATGGGGGTCGCAACGAGTCGGACACGACTGAGCGACTTCACTTCACTTCATATAGTGAATGTATCCAATATATATAGAATTTTTATTGGATATATTCAGTATAGATTATTGGATGTGTATGTTAGATACTTGTGGCTTATTTATTTTATGTACAGTAGTTTATATAATAGCTTGAGTTTTCATTTTCTTCAGGGAGAACATTTTCTGAATTCCTGGGTCAAGAGAGATTTATCTGTGGCATCAGGTAAAGGCTCAGACTTATTCAGAAAAGCTTTGCTTGTTTATTTTGCTTTTTTCCTCTAGCCTTTCCATTTTCCTCCTCATTTTGTGGTGCCATGGTAATTTTTTAAAAAACCATTTCATTAGAGTTTTTTGGTCTCCTGGGGTGACTTAATTTTTTAACATAAATGAACATAGGGAAATATATCAGGGCTGGGTCCTTAATTGAATTTCCCTTAAAACAGTTAAGGTTTCTGGATAAAATGGTTTTGAAAACATTCTTAAATGGATCAGTGTCTATTAAGGAATTAAATGTGAAGTAATAGAAAATAAATGTTGATCTCTGCCCCCAATTCCTGGCACACAGCTCCTCAGTTCAGTTCAGTTCAGTCTCTCAGTCGTATCCGACTCTTTGTGACTCCATGGATTGCAGCATGCCAGGCTTCCCTGTCCATCATCAACTCCTTGAGTTTACTCAAACTCATATCCATTGAGTCAGTGATGCCATCCAACCATCTCATCCTCTGTCTTCCCCTTCTCCCGCCTTCAATCTTTCCCAGCATCAGGGTCTTTTCCAATGAGTCAGTTCTTCGCATCAGGTGGCCAAAAGTATTGGAGTTTCACCTTCAGCATCAGTCCTTCCAATGAATATTCAGGACTGATTTCCTTTAGGATGGACTGGTTTGATCTCCTTGCAGTTCAAGGGACTCTCAAGAGTCTTCTCCAACACCACAGTTGAAAAGCATCAATTCTTCAGCGCTCAGCTTTCTTTATAGTCCAACTCTCACATCCATACATGACTACTGGAAAAGTCATAGCTTTGACTAGACAGACCTTTGTTGGCAAAGTAATGTCTCTGCTTTTTATTTTATTTTTATTTTTTTTTCATTTATTTTTATTAGTTGGAGGCTAATTACTTTACATCATTGCAGTGGTTTTTGTCATACATTGAAATGAATTAGCCATGGATTTACATGTATTCCCCATCCCGGTCCCCCCTCCCACCTCCCTCTCCACCTGATCCTTCTGGGTCTTCCCAGTGCACCAGGCCCGAGCACTTGTCTCATGCACCCAACCTGGGCTGGTGATCTGTTTCACTCTAGATAATATACGTGTTTCGATGCTGTTCTCTTGAAACATCCCACCCTCGCCTTCTCCCACAGAGTCCACAAGTCTGTTCTATACATCTGAGTCTCTTTTTCTGTTTTGCATATAGGGTTATCGTTACCATCTTTCTAAATTCCATATATATGTGTTAGTATACTGTAATGGTCTTTATCTTTCTGGCTTACTTCGCTCTGTATAATGGGCTCCAGTTTCATCCATCTCATTAGAACTGATTCAAATGAATTCTTTTTAATGGCTGAGTAATATTCCATGGTGTATATGCACCACAGCTTCCTCATCCATTCGTCTGCTGATGGGCATCTAGGTTGCTTCCATGTCCTGGCTATTATAAACAGTGCTGCGATGAACATTGGGGTGCACGTGTCTCTTTCAGATCTGGTTTCCTCGGTGTGTATGCCCAGAAGTGGGATTGCTGGGTCATATGGCAGTTCTATTTCCAGCTTTTTAAGAAATCTCCACACTGTTTTCCATAGTGGCTGTACTAATTTGCATTCCCACCAACTGTCTCTGCTTTTTAATATGCTGTCTAGGTTGGTCATGACTTTCCTTCCAAGGAACAAGCGTCTTTTAATTTCATGGCTGCAGTCACCATCTGCAGTGATTTTGGAGCCCCCCAAAACAAGGTCTCTCACTGTTTCCCCATCTATTTGCCATGAAGTGATGGGACTGGATGCCATGATCTTAGTTTTCTGAATGTTGAGTTTTAAGCCAACTTCTTCACAGAGCTTCTAAAACCCATGTAATTTCCTGAGTGATAAGATCATGAGAAGCATCTCTTGTTCTAACATTTGATCTTTGACACTGCCTGATACTGGGCTCCTAAAACCCTTGCAAACCCCTAAGTGATACGAGCACTAAGAGCACTTTTGGCTTCTGATGTGGTGACTCTGGGTGGGCTCTTGGTTGGGGGTTGGTCACTGGAAAGAACAAGTTTTGATTAGAAGCTTGGAATTTTCGGCCCTACTCCCTTTTCTTCATAGCGCGGAGAGGGGATATAAATTGAATTAATGATTGATCATGCCTATGTGAGGAAACCTCCATAAAAATCCCAATAGTTTGTGGATCCAGGAGCCTTTGGGTGTGTGAACACAACCACACTGTAAATGTAACACATCCCAACTCCATGGGGAAGGAAGCTCCCAGATCTCAGTCTGTGAGCCAGTTCATCTGTGCGTGTGTGTGTGCCAAGTCGCTTCAGTCATGTCTGACTCTTTGCCACGCTCTGGGCTGTAGTCCACCAGGCTTCTCTGTCCGTGAGATTCTCCAGGCAAGAATACTGGAGTAGTTTGCCATGCCCTCTTCTAGGGGATCTTCCTAATCCAGGGATCAAACCTGCATCTCTTATGTCTCCTGCATTGACAGGCGGGTTCTTTACTAGTAGCACCACCTAGAAAGCCCCCAGCTCATCTGTACCCTTGATCATGTCCTTTGCTAAACAAATATAAGTGTTTCCCTGGGTTCTGTGAGCCACTCTGTCAAATGAAGTGGAGTGGGAGCTGTCTTATGGGATTGAGCCTTTAATCTGTAGGATCTGGTACTACTAAGTAGATAGTGTCAGAGTAAATTGTAGGACACCCCTCTGGTGGTGCAGAGAATTGCTCAGTGGGGAAAGTATCAGAAGTATTGTGAGTGTGACAGTAGTGTGACAGTAAAAGAGACACACTTGAGGAAAAGACTGAGGTTTTCCCAGTACATTAAGTCATATTCCAATTAAAAATGAAGAGAAAGCCGGAATCCTGGGATTAAACATGATACTGAAACAAGCTTTCATCTTAAGGAATTTTGCAGTATCTACTTTTGTTACCATATTTAATATACATATGTTGGTTTTCAAATCCTCAAGGAGTGCAGAAGACAGGAACCAAACTGTAGGACCAATGTGGAAAGTCTAATGGAGACCACCCCCATAGAGCTGACACCCAAAGGGCAAGAAATAAATCTGCCTCCTTTTTAGGGGGCTTCAAGCAAGATTTGCCTTTCTCAAGTTTTGATACTAACTTGGGGAGGAAGAGAAGCTCCTCTGGCTTCCTCTTGCTTTATTCTGATGCTATACAATGAAGAGATAATTTGAAAATATTTTATTATAAAAAAATGAATGTATACAGAAATAAGACCATAGCAAATCCCCACCATGTATCCACCATTCTGTTTCAACAATTTAACACGTAGTCAGTCTGGTCTTGTTTCTCCTTTTCTAACCCCCTCCTTCAATTGTATTGAAACAAACTCAAATATACTGTTCTATCTTTAAACACAAAAGGATAGTGCAACTGTTTATAATAGCCAGGACATGGAAGCAACCTAGATGCCCATCAGCAGATGAATGGATGAGGAAGCTGTGGTACATATACACCATGGAATATTACTCAGCCATTAAAAAGAATTCATTTGAATCAGTTCTAATGAGATGGATGAAACTGGAGCCCATTATACAGAGCGAAGTAAGCCAGAAAGATAAAGACCATTACAGTATACTAACACATATATATGGAATTTAGAAAGATGGTAACGATAACCCTATGTGCAAAACAGAAAAAGAGACTCCTATGTATAGAACAGACTTGTGGACTCTGGGAGAAGGTGAGGGTGGGATGTTTCAAGAGAACAGCATTGAAACACGTATATTATCTAGGGTGAAACAGTTCACCAGCCCAGGTTGGGTGCATGAGACAAGTGCTTGGGCCTGGTGCACTGGGAAGACCCAGAGGGATTGGGTGGAGAGGGAGGTGGGAGGGGGGACCGGGATGAAGAATACATGTAAAAAAAAAAAAAAAATGAACTATTTTCAACAATGGAAAAAAAAAATTAAAAAAAAAAAAAATAAAATAAAATAAAGTATTATAAAAAAAAATAAAGGAAAAAAAAAAGGATAGTGCAAACACTGATAGTAATATCACAACTTGCTAGTCTCACCGTATGCCTTTTATTCAAGTCTGTTGCAATGGCAGCATCTTTGGTAATGAAGAACTCCGACTGCAGTCTTTCAAATACTGGAGACCGTCGTCCCCAGTGGGAGCAGCAGCTCTGGTCAAAGCAGGTCTTTTCTACACAGGTGAGTCAGCAGTTTGCCCCACGCTCTTGCCTTGTGCCCACTGAAACCCCACATGCCCTTCATGATCCTGGGCTTGTATTTAACTAGGCTCAACAATCCCTGCTTCTTCTCATTATTCCTCACGTATGCTTTTTCCTTTCTGTATCATAAATCCTCTCCCGGTTCTCCACACCTCCTTTAGGTAGTAAAGCCCCAATCTTGAAAACTTAAGGTCTGGGCTAACAACAAATACAAGGATCCTGTTGGGGTAATGATCAGGCCTTGGTACACTTTACTGTCTACCCCCACCCCTCTGGAAACTGTCGCATGACTGTGTCCCTCGCTGTTGAACCAGCTCAGTAGTCAGGTATCCATACCTACATATCAGAGGAGCTGGGATGTTCAATTTTTTTTCTTCCAGGTAACAAGGTGCCTAGCTGAAAATTGAAGTTTCTGTTACTATGGAAGATTGAGAGATAACTAGGAGTGTGGATAGTGGTCTTTTAAAAAATATATATGTATTTGACTGTGGGATCTTGGGTCTTCATGGCGGCATGCAGCAGCTTTAGCGGTAGCCCAGGACTTCTTCAGTTGAGGCGTGTGGGACCTCGGTCCCTGACCAGGCCCTCTGCATTGGGAGCACGTGGTCTTAGCCACTGGACCAGCAGAGAATCCCCCTGGATAGAGGGTTTTTTGCCACACTCTCCTTGGAAGACAAAGTAAGGAAATTCCTCTTTATAATTCCTAATCATGGAGAATCTGCCATCGGTTCATAGTATTCTCTCTGTAGCTACTGGTTGTCAGGAGTTCCACTTTGTCATGTGCAAAGAAAGCGGGGGTTCCCCTCAACTTCACCTCTGCCTGAGGTGTAGAAAGGTGAAATGATATTGTGTCCTTTCTGGGGACCTTGCTGACCTTCTCCACACCAAACGCACATGCTCAATTACAGTGAAGGTCCATGGGGGAACTTCTGCTGTGGGGTCAAGTCATGAATATCACAGAGTGGAGCAGAGTGGGGGAGTATAGTGTTCACTTGAACTAACAGTCGTGTTCCATTGGTACAAAAAATCTTAATGCCTCAGTATCTTAGAGTTAACTGGAAAGTTAACTTAGAGTAACTGGAAAGTTAGGGTTCCACCCTTTCTTCTTGCTCCCTCCATTCTCTCTTCCCCTTGGCAGCTGTGCTCAAGGGTCTTCTCTCTAGTAGTGTCTTCACCCTCTTCTTTTTGAATCTCCTCCTCACCCACAAGTCCTAGTCATCTCACCCTTTTGGGATCTCGCAAGCTCTAGGACCTCCTGTTTCTGTACAGACACAAAGGGAGATTTTCCTATGCTCTGGCTTTATAATGACTGCAGGAGTCCAAGAGGAGAAGGAAGATGAGGAATGTTCCATCATCTTACTAGAGTGGGTAGCTGTTCCCTTTTCCAGGGGATCTTCTCAACCCAGGAATCGAACCCTGGTCTCCCACATTGCAGGTGGATTCTTTACTGAGCAGATTCCCAGCTGAGCCACCAGGAAAGCCCAGGACTACTGGAGTGGGTAGCCTGTCCCATCTCCAGTGGATCTTCCCGACTCAGGAATCGAACCAGGGTCTAATGCATTGCAGGCGTATTCTTTACCACCTGAGCTACCACAAAAGCCCTCTTAGAAACTAGGATGTTTCCTAGTTCAGTGCTTTGGTAGATCCAAATGCTAATTTCCTTCCAAAAAATAGAGTCTCACTTGAAGACTTGATCCTATTTCTAGTGGAATAAACCTATAGTAAGAGGTGTCTGATTCTTCACAATCTTACTTACATGAGAGTGGCTATATTTGCTCATATATATTTTTTCTGAGCTCCAAATATATTCTTTCTGATTTATTCATTGAACAGATAACTTATTAAGTGCATAATAAGTGCTAATCACTGTTCTAGGTCCATGAAATTCACTGGGGAGCAAAACAGGCAAAATTCTCCTCCTTCATGGAGCTTCAACTCCACATTCTGATTTGCAAATCTCTTGCCTCATTGCACGAAGAGGGGACGGGACAGGGTTTGATTGGTGTGCATGGTACATAGAAACATTCAGTGCTCATGACCCCACTGGTGCAAGAAGAGCCCTAGTTAGAATATTTCCTCACTGGTGACACAAAGTTGTGACTTTGTCACAAAATCTGATAGAAAGTGTAAGCTCGGTTTTGCTAATATGGTTATTATCTGTGTCACTTGACAAATACATTGGCCTGTGGCACTGATCGAGTTTCCTTACTTCTAGGTAAATCGGACATTGTCCAGTGTTTTTCCTGTAGAGGGTATTTGCATGAGTGGGAGGAAGGTGATGACCCATTAGAAGAACACGCCAAATTTTTTCCCAAGTAAGTGGAATGAATGCTTAGTATCTACGAATCTGGATGTATTTTAGCAATTTTCCCCTCATTTTATATTCTGATTAAGTCTTTGCCCATGTGTCTCATTCTTACAATGAAGGATGAGTCTTCCTTTCTTTCATTCCATTGCTTTCACAACCCCCTTCCCATCTAGCCTTCCTCTCTCAATAGTTACAGTACAGTTTTGGTTCAGTCATTATTTTCACATTAATGTCTATTTTATCATGACTTCATAAAGGCGGAGCCTTGTAGTAAATAATTTATTTTCTCTCCCTGTACAACTTCCAGTTTTTGGAGGGAGTGATAATTGTTTTATCAGTATGTTTGCTTACTTTTTTGTTTTTTTTTTTAAATTCACACATAAACTCTTTTAAAAGTGCACAATCCAGTAGCATTTAGTACATGAACAGTGTTGTGCAATTACCTCCACTAATTCCAAAACATTTCGTTATTTGAAAGAGAACTCTTTACCCATGAAGCAGTCATTCCTTGTCTCCCCAGTACACCTTATTTCCTGAGAGCTGCGAGGTAGCTTTCTGTTGCTATAGATTTATTCTCTTGGATATTTTATGTAAATGGAAGCATATAATATCTTTTGCATCTGACTTTACTTAGCACAGTGTTTTGAGGTTCATTCATGTTGTAGCATGTATCAATACTTCATTCTTTTTCATGAGTGAGATATATGTAACTGTACATGTGTATATATATATATATATATATGTATGTATTTCACTTTCTCCATCTCCTCACCAATACCTGTTATTTTCCTTTTTAAAAAATATAGCCATTTGCTTAGTTTTTAAAACATATTTAGCACCAGTTCATCTTCAAATTCTCCCAGATGTTTAAATCTCCTCTCCAATCATTCAGACTTGTAATATAGCCCACTGTTTTCATTTTCTTAAAGAGGCTGTCATGAAGTCTCTGACCTGCTTCAATATGAACTCTTTGTCCTGAAGTTACCCTGGGATCCTAGGATTGTTCTTCAAGTCATCCTAGGGATTCCTATCGCCTCTCTCCTGTGTTTCCTGGATCTGTTGTCATCCTTTTCTTGGCTTATTCACTCACTTTGAAATACTCCCCCACAAATCCCTGGGAAAGACTGCATAAGAAATGCGTGTTTTTAGCTTCCACTTAATGCATATATCTGAATAAATATTTATATATATTTTCTCATACTTGTTTGGTAGTTTAACTAGGTATGGAATTCCAGGTTGGAAATCATTTTAATTCCAAACTATAGAGACATTGCTGCATTTTCTAATAACTTCCAGTATTGCTGTTGAAGTTCCATGTCTTTCTGATTCTTAATCTTTTTATTACTTCTTCCCATTCTGGAAGCATTTAGGATTTTCTCTTTGTTTCCAGTGTTCTAAAATTTAATGAAGAAATGGCTAATTTTAAATATTTCTTTTCTGTAGCTCTTTAACATTTTGGAGGGCTTATTTTTTCACTCACCAGACTCTTCAAAAATGTTCAACTGTAAGAGGACATTTTGTTGTTTTCACTTTGTAATTAGTAAATGCTCTTCTAGAAATAAATATTAATACAAATAGGTCTTAAATGCTTCTATCTAATTCTAAGATTCTCAAGAGATATAGTTTTGAAGGTGTTTTCACAGAAGTAGCTGCATTTTTTTTTTGTTTGTTTTAGTATTTAGTAAATTGTTAAACAGTGGAGATAGTCTTCTTAATTTTTGGAAAAATAAACTAGGATACAGTCTGATTGTATTTAGGACCTTTTCTCAACTCTGTCATTTCCTTTTTTGTAAAGCTTTTTATTTCTCCTCTGCCTTTTTTGTTTGTTTTGTTATTGTTTTTGTTTTTTGGTCTGCTGAGTGAAGCTTCAATCTTTTGCCTCTCTTTTAAAATTGCAAACTAGGATGCCCTTAAATAAGCATGTATGACTTAAAGGAAAATTAAAGAAACCAATGAACCTACCACTAAAGTTAAGAAATTGAATATTATCAAGTCCTTAGAAGGCTAGTGTGTGCCTACTTTCCCAGTTCTGATTATATCCTTGTCCCTCCAATTCAGAAGGTTTTCCCTGTTGGCTCAGTTCTGCCTGCAATGCAGGAGACCCAGTTTGGATCCCAGAGCTGGGAAGATCCCCTGGAGAAGGAAAAGGCAACCCATTCCAGTATTCTTGCCTGGAAAAGCCTGCCAGGCTCCACTGTCCATGGGATTGCAAGAGTCAGACACGACTTGGTGATGAAACCACCATCAACCCTGAAATTTGTGATAATTGTTCCTTCTACTCAGAATGGTTTCACCAGCTACATATGTATCATTAAGCATACTTAACTTTGCCTGTTCTATAAATTCAAATAAATGGAAGCATACTGCATGGTTCTTCTGTGATGATTGACTTGTTTTACTCCATAGAATTTTTGAGACTCATTTATAATTATGTAAGAGTTGCAATTTACCTGTTCTCATTGCTATATAGTATATATATATATATTTTTAAATATTTTTTATGAATATAAAATTTATCCTTCTATTCTAGATTCAACATCTGGGTTGTTTTCAGAATGTTGCAATTCAAATAATGCCTCTATGAACCTCCTTGGACATAATTCCCAGTGCTCATATTTCTCTAGGATACATAACTAGCCATGGAGTTGCAAAGTGATAAGATGTGCACATTCAACTTTACTAGATTATGCAAAACTTTTTCCAAAGTGGCTGTACTGATTTATATTCTTACTGGTATAGATGTTTCCATTCTGTCTGCTCCCTCACTAACTTATATTGCCCCAATTTTTGTCAGTCTATTTACTAATAATGTTGAACATATTTTCATATTTTTCCACATAGTTTCCTTGCTCTTTTTCTTCAGAAACATATCTTGTCTATTCTTTGTCCTTTCTTCTTTCTTATTCAGAAAATATATGAAATGTCCCTCTTTATCTCTCTTGCTACTCCTTGTTCTTGTGTCTTTATCTGATGTTAATATACTGTAGCCACTCCAGCTTTTAGTTTTTGCATGATACTATCTTTTTTGAAATCTTTTTTTTTTCTTTTTTTGGCTGTGGAGTACAACGTGAGGGATCTTAGTTACCAGACCAGGGATCAAACCCAGAGAGAATGGAGTCCTAACCACTGGACCACCAAGGAATTCCCAAAATAATTTTACTTTTAACCTGCAACTTTAAAGTGAGCTTCTTGTGGACAGCATAGGTGCGTCTTGCTTTTTTGGCAGTCTGACAATACCTGCTTTCTTGTTTTGTTGTTATTCTTGTTTGTTTGAGATTTTTGGCTGTGCCTTACAGCCTGTGGGATCTTAATTCCCTGACCAGGGCCCTGACAGTGAGAGCAAGGCGTCCTAACCACTGGAGCACCAAGAGATTCCCCAAAATCTGCTTCCTAATGGGAGTGTTTAGAACATTTACATTTAATAGACTCATTGATATGGTTGGATTTAAATCTACTCTTTTGCTCTTTGTTTTCTATTTATCCGTCTCTGGTTTGTCTCTTCTCTTCCTGACTTGCGTTTGAGTATTTTGCTATTTTCCATTTTATCTCTGAAGTTGGCTTTTTAGCTGTTCAGCTTTGTCTTTCTAGTGCCTGCTCTGTAATCTACATAATGCACATTTGACAAATCACTGCTGCTAAGTCACGTCAGTCGTGTCCGACTCTGTGCGATCCCATAGACGGCAGCCCACCAGGCTCCCATCCCTGGGTTTCTCCAGGCAAGAATACTGGAGTGGGTTGCCATTTTCTTCTCCAGTGCATGAAAGTGAAGAGTGAAAGTGAAGTCGCTCAGTCGTGTCTGACTCTTAGCGACCCCATGGACTGTAGCTTACCAGGCTCCTCCGTCCATGGGATTTCCCAGGCAAGAGTACTGGAGTGGGGTGCCATTGCCTTCTTCTGACAAATCACAGTCATCTTCAAATAACTTTATAACAACTGACATATAATGCATGAACCAATGTAACAGTATACTTCTGTTTTCTCCTTCCTCGTCTCTGTGCTGTTGTTACCACACATTTTACTTCACATGTGTTCTAAATCTCACAATCTACTGTTATATCTTTGTTGTGAACATTTATCTTTTAAATACATTTTTAGAAAGAGAGAAAGCATATTTCATATTTACCCAATGAGTTACCATTCCTGGAACACTTCATTCCTTTGGGTAGAACCAAGTTTCCATCTGTTATGATTTTCCTTTTCAGAAGAAACTCAAGAAGAACTTCCTTTAACATTTCTTGTAGTACTAGTCTGCTGGCAGCTAAATTCGTTGGCTTTATTTGTACAGAAAAGTCTGTATTTTACCTTCCTTCAGAGTCCTTTCCCTTGATGGGTTTATCTGCAGGGTGACCTTGGACAGAAGCATTTAAAGTCCTACTAGCTTTTTCTATAGCTGCCCTTCTATTCCTGGGCTCATCTCCAAGTCATTCATCTAGGAAAATAAAAATGATGTGTCCTCTTGTTTTATCTCCTGCTTTCCTATAATTCAGCAGCATAAAAATAAGCTGAGAGAGTTGTTTCTAGTTTTATCATTTACCTACTCACATTTATAGTTCTCATTTATCCAAATTAATGATTGTGAATAGAGCTCTGTAGAATTTTCTTCCTTGGTTCTTCAGGCAAACATCATAACTGAATTTAGAAAGTATCGTATGTTCCAATTTCATGACGTCTAGCATATTGTTTTTAGGGCCACTCTTTAGTCTTCATATTGATGGAGTTTTTTTTTCCCTGAAATAAACTTTATTTGGAGGTATTTTTAGATTTAGAGAAAAGGTGAAAAGATAATACAGAGTGTTCCTGTATTCCCATACTCAGTTTCCTCTAGTACTAACGTCTTACATTACCCTGGTACATTTGTTAAAATTAAAAAAAAAAAACACTGGCACATTACAGTCAACTCCAGATGTTTACATGTGTTTCACCATTTTTTTCCTGCTCATGTCCTTTTTGTTGTCTTTGTCCCAAAATCCATAGATGGACTTGTTGTCACTATTTTCTTTCCATTAGGTTCATTTTAGTTGGTTTCATGGATGAGTGTTAAATATGCTCCCATTCCACCAAATTGGCTGGTTATCCCCACCATTACTTTATGAGCCATTTACATCTCTGTTCCCAAGAGCCACAGTCTACATGCCTTGCTTGATAAAGATACTGACAGACTCACAGAAAATGTTAATTTTATACTTAACCTTTGCCACTAAAACTCTGGCAGTGTTTTTGAAAACCTGAAGCAAAGGTTTAATTTCATGCAACTAGCTTTATAACTTGTAACTTGTGTGTTTAGTTGTCAGTTTCTCCAGAGTGTGAAGTCCTCTGCAGAAGTGATTCCAGACCTTCAGAGCCATGATGAACTTTCTGAGTTAACGGTGTTGAATGCCACCTTGTTTATTTTCAGAGTGTGTGATCATGTGATTAAGAACAGTTTTGAGCAGGAGCTGCTCATCATAAATAAGTAGTGTCAGTCACTCAGTCATGTCCGATGCTTTGTGACCCCACGAACTGTAGCCTGCCAGGCTCCTCTGTCTATGGGTTTCTCGAGGCAAGAATACGGATTGCCATTCCCTTCTCCAGAGCATCTTCCCGACCCAGAGATTGAATCCAGGTCTCCTGCATTGCAGGCAGATTGTTTACCATCTGAGCTACAGGGAAGATCCATCATAAATAAATCAGTCAATAAATTCTGCCAATATCTGTCAAGCATCTGTAGAGTTAGTCCCTTCTACTTTGGTGCCCACACTTGTTTGGACCTAAGAGTTGATTAGCAGCCAGGCTACCTGACCCCATCAGTGACCTTTGCTTGGAGGGCAGTAAGTCTAACTTGCTAGTTGGCTTTTCTCAAAGTTGGGAAGATATGTTTCTTTTACAAAAGCAAATGACCAACCAATCTGACTATTAATTAATGGTCAGATTAATAGGTTGACCCCTTTAAACTGTGAAATTCTATATATTTCTTTGGGATATTAGCCACTACCAATTTAACACACACACACACACACACACACACACACACACACACACACCTTATTTGAGGCTGTATGTTAAGTATATTGTCACCCCATGAAAAAGAAAACAGAGTAATTTGCCATTCATTTGACTCATCTTTTACATTTGTGAACTGAAAATGAAATTGAAGGAAAACATTTGGGGGTATAGAAATAGCTGTTTTTATTTTATTGATGTATATGTGACTTACAATATTAGTTCCAGGTATACTACATAGTATTAGATATTACTGGATATTAGAAAATGATTACTACCATAAGTCTAGTTACTGTCTGCATCAAAGTTATTATAGTAATATTGACTATTTTCCCCTTGTTGTAATTCCATCTCTGTGACTTACAACTGCAAGTTTGTATCTCTTAATCCCTTCCACCAATTTTGGTCATCTCCCTCCACCTCCCTTAAAGAACTTATTTTTAAAAGAAGAAACTTAATCTCCCTATATCCCAGGTATGTAATATTTAAAATGCTTTTAATAACTGAGATCAGAAGCTATACTGAATGGTTTCTGGAGGGTCCATCTTGCTCTTGACACTGTGACTCTAATCATCTGGTCAGAAATCACTGCTCATGTCACCCAAGGAATGTGCTGTTTGGGTAGCATACAGAAGCATACGCTTGCATGTGTTTGCAGATCACTTATTATTTCATATTTGTAGCACTCCTCCCTGCAACTGGCATAAACACTTGAGGGTGGCTTGTGTTTAGAAAATGTCTGGTTTCTGATTGTAAGTTGAGGCCCCACCCTCTTATACAGATGTTAATTTAATAGAGAATTTTCTTTTCAAAGGGAAGTACCAGCGAAAGCCATCTTGAAGAGTCAACAACAGTTGGTTCTGTAGTGCCAGGTAAGGATTCGGAGGTAGCACATGGGATTATATGAATGTGTACATATCTTTGTATATAGAGGATTTTATTTTATCATTTATTTATTTATGGCCAAACTACACAGCGTGTGGGATATTAGCTCCCCACCCTGGGACTGCACCCGTGCCCCTGCAGTGGAAGTGTGGAGGCTCAACCACTAGGCTGCCCGGGAAGTCCCGCGTGCAGGGGTAATAGGAATACCTGTTTGTAACTGTGCCTCCTTGCTTTTCTCCACAGAGGTGGCCCAGGGTGAAGCCCAGTGGTTTCAGGAGGCAGAGAACCTGAGTGAGCGCCTGAGAAAAGTCTATACCAGTGCTCCTTTCTGCCACATGTCTTTGCTTAAGATCTCTTCCTGTCTAGCCACGGACCAGTGGCTGGATTGTGATCTGTCCTTTGCTTTAAAATCCATCACCAATCCTGTGCAAGAGCCTGTGGTGTTGCCTGAAGTCTTTGCTAACTTGAACTCTGTCATGAGTGTGGAGGGTGAAGCTGGGAGTGGAGAGACCATCCTCCTGAAGAAAACAGCTCTTCTGTGGGCATCAGGATGCTACCCCTTGTTAAACAGGTTCCGGCTGGTCTTCTATCTCTCTCTTGGCTCTACCAGACCAGAGCAGGGGCTGGCCAGTGTCATTCATGACCAACTGTTAGAGACAAATGTATCTGTTACTGAAATGGGCCTGAGGAACATCATCCAGCAGTTAAAAAACCAGGTGTTATTCCTTTTGGATGACTACAAAGAAATGTGCTCAGTCCCCCAAGTCATAGCAAGGATGATTCAAAAAAAACATTTGTCAAGGACCTGCTTGTTGATCACTGTCCATACAAATAGGGCCAAGAACATCCGCCGATACCTAGACACAATCATAGAGATTAAGGCGTTTCCTTTCTATAATACAATTTCTGTACTACAGAAGCTCTTTCCAGGCAATTTGACCTGTCTGCGAAAGTTGATGGTTGACTTCAGAATGAGTCAAACTTGGCAGGCAGTTCAGAAAACACCCTTGTTTGTGTCAGCGGTCTGTGCTAGTTGGCTTCAGAATCGTTTTCATCGATCCTTTGATAGTGTGGCTGTTTTCAAGTCCTATATGGAATGCCTTTTCTTAAAGCACAAAACTGCAGCTGACCTACTCAAAGCAACTCTGTCCTCCTGTGGTGAACTAGCCTTAAAAGGCTTTTTTGCATCTTGCTTTGAGTTTAGTGATGAGGACCTCAGAGAAGCAGGGATTGGTGAAGAGGAAGATCTAGCCATGTACCTGATGAGCAAATTTACAGCCCAGAGACTGAGGCCAGTCTATCAGTTTTTAAATCCTGCATTTCAAGAATTCCTTGCTGGAATGAGGCTGACCGAACTCCTGGATTCAGATAGGCAAGAAGACCAAGATTTGGGACTTCATTATTTGAAACAAATCAACTCAACCTTGATGGCTATCTGTCCCTATGCCAATTTTTTGAACTGTGTCTCCTGCCATCCTTCAACAAAGGCAGGGCCAAAAATTGTATCCCATTTGCTTCTTTTGGTGGATAATAAAGAGACACTGGAGAATATATCTGAAAATGATGCCTACCTGAAGCATCATCCAGAAATTTCTGAGGTGATGCAGTGTTTCAGGTTGGTGTGGCAATTTTCTCCACAAAATTACCTTTCACTGGCTTCAAAACATTTGCTAGCTCTGGCTGTGAAAATTGCGTATCAAAGCAACACTGTTGCTGCATGTTCTCCTTTCATTTTGCAATTCCTTCATGGGAGAACCCTGTGTTTTGATGTGCTTAAGTTACAGTATTTTTTTGACCACCCAGAAAGCCTGTTCTTGTTGAGGAGCATCCAGGTCTCCATAAGTGGAAATAGGTCGTCGTTCGTAACAGATTTGCCTATGGAAAGAATTTTCGACAAATCACAGGCACCAACTATAGATCAGGACTATGCTTCTGCCTTTGAACTTGAGAGTGAATGGAAGCAGAGTTTAGTTGAAAAACAGGAAAACATTAAACATTTTCAGAACATTCGACTCAGTGCACCACCAGCCACGAGCACTGGCTATTGGAACCTTCCTTCAAAGCAGTACAAGATTCCCCTTCTGGAAGTTCATGTGATTAATACCAATGCTGTGGATCAGGAGATGCTAAGGTTTCTAACAGAGGTTTTCTCAGCTGCACAGCACATTGAACTCCACTTGAACCACAGCAGGGGTTTTATTGGAAACATCCACCCAGCTCTTGAGCAGCACAAGGCCTCTTTCACAAAGTGCTGCATAAGCCAGTGTGAGCTGAGCATAGCAGAGCAGGAATTGCTTCTCACTCTGACTTCCCTAGAATCTCTTGAAGTCTCAGAGACAACCCACCGACAAGGTAAGCGGGAACCTATTTAGATGACTATTAGGATATGTACTTTCATCTTTTCACTCTTAGTTGTAAATGGATAAAAACTTTTGAAAGCATGAGACTGTAAATCCTTGCTGATTGGACAATTTAAATTTTACTAATTTATTTCTCTTAGTAATATGAATTAGTGAAAAGCCTCCAAATAGTAGAATGACTTTCAAACTCTGATATAAATAATAAAATGACAAATGAAGGCTCTTAGTAAACAAATGACTAGTTATTAGTAAAATAATTATCTGTATGTAAATAATGCTTGAGAACTACTCTCACCTCACCTGCTTCATGGAAGAAAGGGCTTGTACTCTGGGAAATAAGCAAGTGGGAAGTAATACCTCCCAGTTATTTTTGTCTCCTTTCACTTGGCTAAGCAGTGTTTTAGAGTTTTTGGTGTAGACTGTATCATCTTTCTTTAAATTTATTCCTAGGTACTTGCATTTTTGATACTCTTGTAAATGACACTAATTTTTTTCATTTTCTGATTGTTGCTACTATGGGTTTGATTTTCAGCAGTTTGTTAAATGCCTCGAAGTGCTTTGCTTTATATCTTACTTGAGGGACACTGAACATTTTTTGGATCTATGTGTTGATATTTATCTTCAAAGTTAGAGAAATTTTGTTCATTTTTTTCAAATATTTTATTATGATAAAACACATTTTTCAATATACAGTTTAGTGGCTTTAAGTAGAATTAGTGTGCTTTGAACCATCGTCACTATTCACTTCCACAACCTTTTCACCATCCCAAACTTTGCACCTATTAAATAACTCCTTCCTCTTCCCAGCCACTGAGGTCTCTATGAATTTGTCTATTCTACTTCATCTAAATGAATCCATACAATATTTTGTCCTTGTGTGTCTGTGTCCTTTCATTTAGCATAATGTTTTTAAGGTTCATCCATGTTGTAGCATGTGTCAGAACTTCACTACTTTTATAGCTAGAATAATATTGCATTGTATGTATATATACAATGGCTTTCCTGGTGGCTCAGTGGCAAAGAATCCACCAGTCAATGTTAGAGACACGGGTTCTATCCCTGGGTTGAGAAGATCCCCTGGAGAAGAAAATGGCAACCCACTCCAGTGTTCTTGCCTGGGAAATCCCATGGACAAAGGAGCCTAGCGGGCTACGGTCCATGGGGTCACAAAGAGTCGGACACGGCCTAGTGACTAAACAACAAATATATCATGCTCTGTTAATCAGTTCGTCAGTTGATGGACACTTGCACTGTTCATTCTGGCTAACGCTGCTATGAACATGGATGCACAAGTGTTACTTTAACACCCTGCTTTCAATTCTTTCTGGTTTATACCTAGAAGTGAAATTATTGGATCATATTAATGATAGTAATTCTATTTTAATATTCAAGGAATCTCCAAACTGTTTTCCACACTGGCTGCAGCATTTTGCATCCCTACAAAGAATGTACCAGGGTTCCAGTTTCTTCACATCCTCCAAGCTTTTTTTTTTTTTTAATCAGAGACATCCGAGCTAGTAGGTGTGAAATTATATCTTATTGTGGTTTTGATTTTCATTTTCCTAATGACTAAAATGCTATTGAGCATCTTTTCAGGTGCTTATTGGCTGTTGGTATATATTTTTTGAAGAGAGTCTATTAAATTGTTTTGTCCATTTAAAAAAATGGAAGTGTGGTTTATTTACTATGTTGTGTTAGTTTCTGGTATACAGCAAAGTGATTCAGGTTATATGTGTGTATATACACATATGTATGTATATTTAAGATTCTTTTCCACTATAGATCATTACAAGATATTGAATATAGTTCCCTGTGCTATACTGTAGGTGCTTATTTTATACATAGTGTATATCTATTAATCTTAAACTCCTAATTTATTCCTCCCTCCTTCCTCTTTCCACCTTGGTAACCATAAATTTATTTTCTATGTCAGTGAGTCTATTTCAGTTTTGTGAATAAGTTCATTTGTATTACTTTTTTAGAGCCCACATATAAATGGTATCATATATTCATTTTTCTGACTTATGTCACTTAATATGATAATCTCTAGGTCCATCTGTGTAGCTGCAAATAGCGTTATTTCATTCTTTTTTATGGCTGAGTAATATCTCATTGTATGTGTATCACATCTTCTTTATCTAGTCATCATTGATGGGCATTTAGAGACATTTAGGTTGCTTCCATGTCATGGTTATTATAAATAGTGCTGCTATGGATATTGGGGTGTATGTATCTTTTCAAATTAAGAGTTTTCTCTAGATGTGTGGCCAAGAGTGGGATTGCTGGATTGTAGCTCTATTTTTAGTTTTTTAGGGAACCTCCAGACTGTTCTCCCTAGTGGCTATACCAATTTACATTCCCATCAACAGTGTAGGAGGGTTCCCTTTTCTCTACATCCTCTCCAGCATTTATTGTCTGTGGACATTTTCTGTTTTGTTTTTTGTCTGTTTGTAGACTTTTTGATGTTAGTCATTCTGACCACTGTGAAGTGATACCTCATTATAGCTTTGATTCGCATTTCTCTAATGATCAGTGATTTTGAGCATCTTATGTGCTTGTTAGCTATCTATATGTCTTCTTTGAAGAAATGTCTCTTGAGGTCACCTGCCCGTTTTCAGATTGGGTTGCTTGTTCCTTTGCCCATTTTAAAAATTGTGTTGTCTTTTTATTTGAGTTATATAAGTTCATTGTATAATTGTATATTCATAATGTGTTATGAATATATCAGTTCAGTTCAGTCGCTCAGTCGTGTCCGATTCTTTGCGACTCCATGGAGTGCAGTACTCCAGGCCTCCCTGTCCATCACCAACTCCCAGAGTTTACTCAGACTCATGTCCATTGAGTCGGTGATGCCATCCAACCATCTCATCCTCTGTTGTCCCCTTCTTCTCCCACCTTCAATCTTTCCCAGCATCAGGGTCTTTTCCAATGAGTCAGTTCTTTGCATCAGGTGGCCAAAATATTGGAGTTTCAGCTTCAGCATCAGTCCTTCCAATGAATATTCAGGATAGATATCCTTTAGGATGAACTGGTTGGATCTCCTTGGAGTCCAAGGGACTGAGAGAGTCATTTCCTAGTTAGGTTGATAAAAAGTCTAGGGGTCCCCAAGGAGAGAGGGGTCTGGAATTCTCAAGGAGGAAGAAAGGACAAACTTTTTTTCTGTCCTCTACATTCCTTAGGATTATATGACAATGATGTATCCTGCCTGAGGACAGTCTCTGGATTAAACCTTCTGGCTAATTCTGTTATCTTAAAATGTAAATTACGGGAGTAGGTCTGGTGAGGTCTTTACAACCTCCAGACATTCTTTGGATTCATTGGAGAGTATATAACTCCATTGCTAACACTAGCAAGGGGGTACTCTTTCTACCCTCTTCTGATGTCTGTGTCAGAAGCTTTCTATATCTCCTTTATACTTTAATAAAACTTTATTACACAAAAGCTCTGAGCAAATTAAAAAAAAAAAAGCTCTGAGCAATCAAGCCTCGTCTCTGACCCGGGATTGAATTCTTCTCCTCCGGAGGCCAAGAATCCTGGCGTCTTTGCATGATTCAGCAACAACCTTTCAGGACTCACAGGAGTCTTCCAACACCACAGTTCAAAAACATCAGTTCTTCAGCACTCAGCTTTCTTTATAGTCCAACTCTCACATTCATACATGACTACTGGAAAAACCATAGCCTTGATTAGACAGCTAGAGAAGCCCCAGCAAGATGATAGTCACTGGAGGTGCGGCCGCGCAGCAGATGTGCGGAGCCGCTGGAGCAGCTCTGAGGAGATACCCCACGTCCAAGAGCAAAGGAGAAGCCCCAGCAAGAGGGTGGGAGGGGCGAAATCGCGTTTAGAATCAAACCCCATTGTGCCATAAACACCCAGAGGGCCCGAACAAACCTTGTGCGCACCTGCAGCCCCATGGACCGCAGCATGCCAGAGGAGGAGAAGGGGACGATAGAGGATGAGATGGCTGGATGGCATCACCGACTCAATGGACTTGCGTTTGAATAAACTCCGGGAGTTGGCGATGGACAGGGAGGCCTGGAGTGCTGCAGTTCATAGGTTCGCAAAGAGTCGGACACGACTGAACGACTGAACTGAACTGACTAGACAGAACTTTGTTGGCAAAGTAATGTCTCTGCTTTTTAATATGCTATCTACGTTGGTCATAACTTTTCTTCCAAGGAGCAAGCCTCTTTTAATTTCATGGCTGAACTCACCATCTGCAGTGATTTTGGAGCCCCCAAAATAAAGTCTTTCACTGTTTCCACTGTTTCCCCAACTATTTCCCATGAAGTGACGGGACCGAATGCCATGATCTTTGTTTTCTGAATGTTGAATTTTAAGCCAACTTTTTCACTCTCATCTTTCACTTTCATCAAGAGGCTCTTTAGTTCTTCTTCGCTTTCTGCCATAAGGGTGGTGTCATCTGCATATCTGAGGTTATTGATATTTCTCCTGGCAATCTTGATTCCAGCTTTTGCTTCCTCCAGCCCAGCGTTTCTCATGATGTACTCTGTATATAAGTTAAATAAGCAGGGTGACAATATACAGCCTTGATGTACTCCTTGCCCAATTTGGAATCAGTCTGTTGTTCCATGTCCACAGTTTGTTGTGATCCACACAGTCAAATGCTTTGGCATAGTCATTAAAGCAGAAATAGATGTTTTCCTGGAACTCTCTCGCTTTTTTGATAATCTAGCGGATGTTGGCAATTTAATCTCTTGTTCCTCTGCTGTTTCTAAATCCAACTTGAACATCTGGAAGTTCATGGTTCATGTACTGTTGAAGCCTGGCTTGGAGAATTTTGAGCATTACTTTACTAGAGTGTTAGATGAGTGTAATTGTGCAGTTGTTTGAGCATTCTTTGGCATTGCCTTTCTTTGGGAAAGAATATATTCATTATATGAATATATAATTATATATATTATATAATCATAGTGTAATTACATATAATTTTTATTGGCATGTGGTTTATAAAATATTTTCTCCTGTAGATTTCCCTTTTCACTGTCTTGGTAATGTCCTTCAATTTGTAAAGTTTGAAATTCCAGCTAAGTCCAATTTATCTATTTTTCTTTTGTGCTAATGGTCTTGGTAGCATATCCAAGAATCCACTGTCAAATCCAAAGTCATCTTTTCTTCTAAAGCATTATATGGTTGTTGAATTTAGGTCGTTGCTTCATTTTGAGCTAATTTTGTATATGGCGGTGGTCCAACTTCTTTTGCATGGAGAAATTCAGTTGTCTGAGCCCCATTCATTGAAATGTCTCATTTTTCTGAATCCAGAGCATAGTACAGGACTTTTATATAGTAGATGAGAAATAAAATATTGCCTGCCATATCAGTAAACAAAGGATGCTGTAGTCATCAGCAATTGCGATTACACCCATGAGGGTGAGCCCTGAGGAAACTCAGGAAGGAAACAAAGAATACCTATCATCTAGTAGTCATTAGTGGAGAAGGAAGTGGCAACCTACTCCAGTGCTCTTGCCTGGAGAATCCCATGGATGGAGGAGCCTGGTGGGCTGCAGTCCATGGGGTCGCTAAGAGTCGGACACGACTGAGAGACTTCACTTTCACTTTTCACTTTCAAGCATTGGAGAAGGAAATGGCAACCCACTCCAGTATTCTTGCCTGGAGAATCCCAGGGACGGGGGAGCCTGGTGGGCTGCCGTCTATGGGGTCACACAGAGTAGGACATGACTGAAGCGACTTAGCAGCAGCAGTCATTAGACTGCAGCCACCTCAAAGGTGCAGCTTGAGCAAACTCAGGATGGGAAAACACAGGATCCTGGCCCCAGACAGCTGAGGTGCATAATCAAAGGAATGATTTCAGTGAGCCCAGACTCTTGCATCTTCCTATGCATAGAAAAGCGCTAAATTCCTTGAGACATCTGGTTTTCTTTTATTGACAGTAATCTTTTGCCATTTGTTGCAAAACTGCTTCCCCCTAATCTCCTTGGAGCAATTTTCTTAGGCTTACTTGAGATGTTGCCTCCCAGACTTGAAGTCCTAAGAACATCCACTGAATAAAATAATTCTCATACTTTTAGGTTGTGCATATATTTTTTTAGTCAACATACTAGTAAATGCCACAAAAAGCATTATTTTCATATATGTGCTTTCTAAAAAAGAATGTGTATGTGAAAGTTTTCATTTGAAAATATGAAAATAGCTTGATGAATCAAAATGACAGTTTGAAAATTTCCGTTTGGAACTCTAAATTAATAATGGGAAACTGTGCTGCTTTCTAGATCGCCTCTTTCTTAGTTTGGACAAATTCTTGTGCCTGAAGGAACTGTCTGTGAATCTGCAACAAGATGTTTTTTCAGTCATTTCTGAAGAATTCCTAAATCTCCACCATATGGAGAAATTATTGATCCAAATTTCATCTACATGCAGTCCTTCCAAACTAGGTAAGTGTGGCACTTTGATTTACTTGCTTTTACATCATTTGGAAAAGCTACTTGGCCAATAAGTAAGAGTTAAAGATCTGAGGGTGTTATCTATAACCAAGGTAAATTGTGGGAACAGCACTTACCGTTATTAAAAAAGCCGAGAGCTATTTGTAATTGAGCCTTTACTACATGCTGTGAATTATTCTAACACTTAATAAATTTTAACTCATTTAACCTTCATACCCATTCTACAAGGTAAAGTAATCATTTTAGATAGGAAATGGAGTTAGAGAAATTAATTAATTTGCTTTCTGAGGTCACCCAGAAAAGGAAATGGTAAATTTGCAATTCAAACACAGGAATTCTAACTCTTAAGTCTGAGCTCTTAAACAGCAGTATACTGCCTCTCCAAAAGTAGCTTGTAGAGTTCTCTTATTCTGTTTTCAGGTTGCTATTACATTGCAAGGAAACCTGCTGATTAGTGGTAATCAGAAGCACTTCCCTGTTTCTCTCCAGCCTGTTCTCTTGGTTAATGAACAACCTGTACAGCCATCTTTCTTAAATGTCATTTAGCAAGGTGACGTAGGCATCATCAGTTCCTTAGTTTAACAAAGACTAAACACTGGAGGCTGAGTGAAGGAAGACAAATCTCTAGTGAACTGACATGCAGAGTTGCATGCAAAAAACCTTGTAGCTAAGGCTGGAAGTAGTAGTTTTCTTATATTTCTCAGCAATTTTTTCATCAAATTTAGGGTTTGCTTCAGAGTTGTCACTGACTTTGTGTCTCCTCGCACAGTGTTTTTATAGTGTAAACACCACGTGCAAACTGGAGACATCAGGTTATTAGGATATTAAAGCTGAGCCAATGCCATTATCTATGGAGGAGACAATGGATCCCCAGAGGGTCAGGAACAACGGTGCACATGGCACAGCAGCTAGTTACAGAGCCTGAACCTAAGCCGAGCCACTACATCATGACGCCTTATTTCGATTCATTATTGCTGAAACAAATTAATGAATTAATTTTATTAATTTTATATGGTTAACTCAGATAGAACTTTTCAGTCTCTGAGTTCTGAAATCTGATGTTTTATCTGACAGTCAGATTAGTTCAGAATTCTCCAAACCTTCAAGCTTTCCATCTGGAATGTAATAGCTTTTCGGATTTTGAATCTCTTGTGACTGCACTTGCTTCCCGCAAGAAACTTAAAGAAATTAAGTTTTCTGGACAATGTTTTGAAGCCAACCCATTTGGTAAGAGCTGTAATTGTAAAATTTTGGTTTAAGATGCTTTTATGGACAGAATCATTTTTTAATAGTCAAATTTTAAAACACGCATTTGATGGCAGAGAACAAAATCATTGCAATAGATATCTGATTGTAAATGAATTTTCAAATAAGGTATATTTGTTTCCTTAATGAATAGATGTTTAAACATTTCTAGTTATGAGAACTGTTTCTTGAGTAAAGATTTGTGTTATCTACTTAAGTCATACTAATTAATTCAATCTGAATTATAGTAATTTCTATCACTTTTGAAATACTCTTTGCTATGCTTAGTCGCTCAGTCATGTCCAACTCTTTGTGACTCCATGGGCTGCAGCCTGCCAAGCTCCTCTGTCCATGGGGATTCTCCAGGCAAGAATACTGGAGCAGGTTGCCATGCCCTCCTTCTGGGGATCTTTTCAACCTAGAGATATAACCCAGATTTCCCACATTGCAGGCGGGTTCTTTACCAACTGAGCTACTAGGGAAGCACCTTTATACTCTTTATAAATACATTACCTTTTGGTATAAGAAATGTAGCTGACATAACTAAATTTTAATTTTCCCTTTTATAGTCATTGTTTTGCCAAATTTTATTTCTCTGAAGATATTAAACCTTGGGCTCCAATATATTCCAGATAAGGAAACAGCTGAAAAATTTGGTATGTTTATAACACAGTGCCTTTTACTTATTCTTGATTCTTTCCCTCCACAAAATCCTTCTGTTTTGCATTAGCTATAATAAATTACAATATGTTTTGGCTGGCCTTGGTCATTAGGAGGGAGGGATAGTGCTGCTCAACTTTTACCCTCCAAATGCCTTGATTTCACTTGATGTCTTTCAAAGCAATGTTCTTAAAGCAATTCATTTCTTAGAATACTTATTTTTTTGTTATAGCACTATGCAATTTCATTGCCAGGTACCCATCCCAAACAAGTTAAATGCCTGTTGTTTCAAAGTTTTCCAGAATATAAGAAAAACTACCTTTTAAGGTTATGAACACTCTATGTGAAAACCTAGACTTAACAAAATGATAACTATAGAAACTACCTTTTCAGCTTATTTTTTTTTATGATTATAATAACAATGTATGCTCTGGAAAAATTTCTAACAGGCCTTAGAAGATAAACATATTTCAAAAAATTGAGGATTTTTTTAAACAAAAATGTTTCTGAATCAGACAGCCTTCACTCTAGCAGACAGAGGGGAGCTCTGAGGAGCTGTACAAAATGAAAGGCTTTAGTAGGCAGAAGGGAGCAGTGACAAGTGATCAAAGTAGGCAAAAATGCTCCTCGGTCATCGCAAGGTTACTTTCCTTTAGGCGATGGGGATGGCAGATGCTGATAGGGTTCCATTTCTGGGGGAGCCAGAACTGTAATCAGAGTCATGGTTTGGTGACGTGGAGCTTGTTGTCTTATTTTTAACACAGGAAAATGTAAGGACAGTCAGTGGAGATTGGAAGCACGCAGCAGCAGTGCTGTCAAACTTCAGCACACTTACGGAGCACCCGGATCTCTTGCTTTTCCTTTGTCCATCTCTTGGAGGCAGCTGTGTGTAGGGGTGGGGGATGGGGCCTGGGTTTCCTTCTCCAGGAGGTCTTCCCCGCCCCAGGGATCGAGCCGGGGTCTCCTGCACGGCAGGCGGATTCTTTACCGTCTGAGCCACCGGGGACACCCACAAATGTTGAAAAGGGAGGCGAGAAGGAACTTTGAGCTCTTAAATCAGAATTGGAAATACTGCTGTGGACTCGTGGTTTTCAACCTATATAGGTAGACATGGGCATATATGTATATCTCACTATACATACGTGTATATACATCTCTCAGCTCGGTCAATAGAGGGACTCAAAAGTACCCTAGTAGTAATGAGCATACCAACTACCCAGATCTTGACTTCTAAATACTGGCCTCCCTAAAAGGAACCAGGGTCTTTGGAGAAATGGCTGATGTAAGAAATGGGACAGTGAAAGGAAAAGCCTGCTACATTGTTTTATGCTAGAAAGTGTTCGAAACATGTCCAGGTATGAGGCCGCAGAAGTATGGAGCTTTCTGGGGATCAAGTGATCTAAACTGTATCATGCTCAGGAGGGATCAAAGTGAAAAGGCAAGTTATGAGAGTGGTAGATTGTGAGGTTAGTGCTAGAAATCACTGAGGATGACAGCATCACAGAAAGGAAGGGGGCTAAAAGCATTGAGGAGCTAGTATTAATAGAAAGAGTCCAGTCCAGTAGAAGCTTTGGTGTGAAAGAGGAAATAGATGGGAATTCTCTGATGGTCCAGTGGTTTAAAAAAAAAAAGGAAATGGGGATGTGAAGTCCATTCTGAACTTCTGGACTTCAGGGCAGGAAGCTGATTGGGGAAGGATGGAGGATTGGTTGTCGAGAGGCAGCAATGAAGATTAAGGTGTAGGTGGGCCCCTTTCTCCAGCCCCTATGCTACATGGAACCTCCTAGAATGTACAGGATTTTGAGGCTTTGGATTACAGTTATTTGGGAACACAGAACATAGTTGTTGTTTTTTTTTTTTTCTGTCTCTTCTGATTAGCCTATGCTTTAGGTTCTTTAAATAACCTGGAAGAACTGATCCTTCCCACTGGGGATGGGATTCATCAAATGGCCAAACTGATTGTCCAGCAGTATCAGCATCTTCAGTGTCTCCAAGTTCTCCAGTTTTTCCAGACTTTGGATGATGACAGCGTGGTGGAAATTGGTGAGCTACCCTCAGATAAACTCAGCTCACATGAAAGCCAGTGGTACTACTCAAGCTTTCTGCTGCAAAATATCTTTTAAAACATTTTCCTCTCTAAAAATATTCAACCCATTTCCCACTTCCTCATTTTCTCCATCATAATGTTCCCTCTAATGTTCTGTGGAGTTTTGGTTCATTCTGGCCAGATTTGGGAGTAAAAGATAGCCTCCTATTTGAGACTGTATAAACCTTCAAGTCCACTCTTAACCTGCAGTGTCTCAGACAGCTGGCCACACACCCTCCACATACTGCTTTTCATCAGTCAGCTCAGTCACGTCCGACTCTGAGACCCCATGAACTACAGCACGCCAGGCCTCCCTGTCCATCGCCAACTCCCGGAGTTTACTCAGACTCATGTCCATCGAATTGGTAATGCCATCCAGCCATCTCATCCTCTGTCGTCCCCTTCTCCTCCTGCCTTCAATCCTTCCCAACAACAGGGTCTTTTCTAATGAGTCAGTTCTTCGCATCAGGTGGCCAAAGTATTGGAGTTTCATTTCAGCTTCAGCATCAGTCCTTCCACTGAATATTCAGGACTGATCTCCTTTAGGATGGACTGGTTGGATCTCCTTGCAGTCCAAGGGACTTTCAAGAGTCTTCTCCAACACCACAGTTCAAAAGCATCAATTCTTCGGCACTCAGCTTTCTTTATAGTCCAGTTCTCACAACCATACATGATTACTGGAAAAACCATAGCTTTGACTAGATGGACCTTTGTTGGCAAAGTAATGTCTCTACTTTTTAATATGCTGTCTATGTTGGTCATTACTTTTCTTCCAAGGTGCAAGCATCTTTTAATTTCATGGCTGCAATCACCATCTGCAGTGATTTTGGAGCCCCGCAAAAAGTCTTTCACTGTTTCCACTGTTTCCCCATCTATTTGCCATGAAGTGATGGGACCAGATGCCATGATCTTAGTTTTCTGAATGTTGAGTTTTAAGCCAACTTTTTCACTCTCCTCTTTCACTTTCAAGAGGCTCTTTAGTTCTTCACTTTCTGCCATAAGAGTGGTGTCATCTGCATATGTGAGGTTATTGATATTTCTCCCAGCAATCTTGAGTCCAGCTTGACTTCATCTAGCCCAGCATATACTTTGTTTTAAATTGAAAATTAATACACATAAAGAAAAGTACAAAATCGTAAATCTACAACTTAATGGATTTTCAAGTGAACATACTTCAGTCTTGTTACTTATACTTGGGTAATAACTACTCATTAGATTACAATATAGATTATTACATTACAGAAGCCTCCTTTGTGTCCCTTCTGACACTGCATTCCCCCTCCTTCTCAAAGGTGACCACTGTACCGCTTTCTTTCACCATAATTTTACCTGTTTTGAAAATATGTCACGGAATCCTACACAGTATGTTCTCCTGTGCCTTTTTCCCTACACATTTTTCATTTATCTCTGCTTTTCTCTCTATTATCCCCTGGTACTTTCTTTGGATATAATTTGCTTTTTATTTTTGTTCTAAATTCATTCTTTCTTCTCTTGTTCCTTTTAATATCCTAATGTCCTGAGGTGGATAGTTAGAGCACTAACTTTGGCTTTAGCTCTCTCTCATGTGTCATATTTTCATTTTCATTCAGTTCAAAATATTTTCTAATTTTAATTGTTCATTTTTTTGCCATATTTTTAATTTAGAGATGTATCACTTTTACTTTATGTTCTTACATTTAAAGTGTCTCTTGTGAAAATATTGTTTGTTTTTTAAAATGTAATTTATTAATCTTTAATACTTTTAATTAGAAGTAAACCTAATGTATTTATTATTAAATTTATATGTTTTTATTAAAATTGGGCATTTTCTATTTTAAGTGATGGTGGGAGAAGAGGTGGGTTCAAATAATCTAGCCTATCAGTATTAAAATTGAAGTCCCTATGATTCTGTTCTCATAAATATTTTGCTTTTATATTTATAGCCAAGGTAGCAATCAATGGAGGTTTCCAGAAACTCAAGCATCTTAACTTTTCAGCCAACCACAAGATTACAGAGGAAGGATACAGAAACTTCTTTCAAACTCTGGACAACCTGCCCAACTTGCAAGAGTTAATTATTTCCAGGCATTTCAAAGAATGTATCAAAGTTCAGGCCACAACAGTCAAGTCTTTGAGTCAATGTGTGTTAAGGCTGCCAAGCCTCATGAAACTTAGCATGTTAAGTTGGCTCCTGGATGCAGAAGACATCATGCTGCTTACTGCCACAATAAAAAAGCACCCTCAGTCTAAACATTTCACCCTTTACTGGAAATGGATACTGCCATTCTCTCCAATCATTCAGGAACATATTAGCTAAAATCTACTAAATCAAGAAAATTTTTGTCAATAATTCTAAAAACTGTGGATAAAATTTTGGATAATGTTAATTATCCAAAAACTTATTAAGTGCTGCATACAAAGAATAAAATGCATAAAGCATATAATACAAAAAACCCCAAACAGCCTGCTTACCCATTACTGAGCTTAAGAAACAGTATTACCAGTGACTGAAGTCCCTAAATGATCCTCCCCAATCAAAAATCAGACCTTTAATCAAATTTACACATCCAACTCTCCATTACTCAGGTCATATAGGGCTTTCAGGCTAACTACGGTAAACGGTGACAAAGCCACAAGGAGGGCTGGGGAGAATGGTGTATCCATCATAAAGCCACAATATGAAAGGAGTATTCAAGTTATTACAAAATGGATGATTTAAGACTGCATCAGTTTCATACATAGGTGAGACAAGAGATATTCCATAATCCTTGTAGCATCTGTTTTTGTACGTTTAATTTAGTGTGGTACGGTTTATGTATACCTTCCTTTTATCTACTGCAGAAGAAATAGGATTTAGGGCAAATGCTCGTATTCTAGAGGCCTTTGATTCAGTGCTTATTGTAGAAGCAGGACGTTTAGAATAGAGTTTAGCATTATTGGAAATTAGCTAAATCTGCATTTTTAAGAACACTGAGTATCAATGTTTTTTTTAGATGTTTGAGAATCCAAGGTATACATTTATAATGGCCTTAAAATCTTATGTGTCCGCTTTGCTGAAGAACATATTTTGTCAGTGACTTCATATTGTTCAAGGTATTACATCTGATGTCAATGTCTACATCTGTGCCTGTGTCCAAAATTTCACTATTCGTTAATCAGCGGTTTTCTGAATGGCTAGAAGGCCATTCCGAATTCATAATGCTAGTGTAAGTTGGAAATCAACCATTCTTTTATACTAATTTTTATTTTTACCACAAAACATAGGGACTGTATATATGGTATGATTCTATTTGTTTAAAAAATGTACTCTCATGTTTCTAGATGCATTAAGAATTTTTGCAAGAACATACAAGAAAAACTGTAACAGTGGTAACTTTGGGGGTGCCAGAGGAAGCCCTCCATATGGGGGTGCTAAGTGCTGCTGGCCACTAGGCACTGCTGAAGCCAGGTCCTGCACAAGGGTGTAGAGACGGTGAGCTCCAGGTCCCTGCTGGAGCGGGGACACGGGGCCCCGGAGACCCCGCCCCTCCTGTCTCACCAGCGCCCTCTACGGACAGAGCTCCTGGCTGTGCCTGCTGACGAGGCAGGGGAGTGACGAGGTCCAGACCCATCACTGCAGAGCAGGCAGTGAAGGCTGGATTTGGACATGAAGGCAATAACGTCGTAAGTGGTACAAGTATTACATTTCATAGTTCTGACCTGAAGGAAACAGAACCTAGTTAAATTTAAGATTGAGAGCATGTATGTACTTTCAGGTTCATACTATCATAGAAAAACTTCCTAAATACACAAGAAACTGGTATTAATGATGCATTTCAGGAAGAGGGGCAGGAGAGTGGACAGGGTAGGGAGGTTTACTTTATTTTACATATAATCCTCTAAATTCTGCACCATGTACATGTACTATTAAAAATGAAAATACACTCAGATCCAAGTCCTACTCAGCCTTTTTCTTGAAACTTCTGGTCTGTTTTCAACAAAGCAGTCAGAAGCTTTTCTTTTTTTGCCACACCACTCCGCGTATGGGATCTTAGTTCCCCAACCAGGCATCAAGCCTGTGTCCCTATAATGGAAGTGCAGAGTCCCGACCACTGGACCACCAAGGAACTCACCCAGAAGCCTCTTCTTATGCATCTGATCACACAATACCTTTGGTTCAAAAAGTTTCCAATGAATTCCTAGCTCCAAGAAATGTTGAAGACGTTGCAATGGTCTACATGTGACCTGACCCCTGGCTACCTCTCTCTCTCTTCCATTTCTTTCATCTCTCTTTACTTCCACTCCAGCCAAGCTGGTTTCTTTGCTGTCCCCTGAACATGGTAAACACTCTTGTCTTAGGGCCTCTGCACCTGTCATTTTCTTTGCTTGGGAAGTTCGTTCTCTACATAACGTGAATGGCTCTCATTTTCTTTGGATCTCTATTCAAATGTCACCTCAGTTAGGAGTTCCCTGTTCTTTTTTTAAAAAAAGTGTCCCTGCTTCCAATCCCCATCTGCCCAACTCCCTTTCCTATTTCCCTTTTCTCTATGACATGAATCACTATGTGCTACTGAAAGGTTGTTGCTGAACGAAAAGACGCTGGGGTTCTTGGCCTCCGGATAATTCAATCCAGGGCCAGAGAAGAGGCTTGATTGCTCAGAGCTTTTGTGTAATAAAGTTTTATTAGAGTATAAAGGAGATAGAGAAAGCGCCTGACATAGGCATCAGAAGGGGGCAGAAAGAGTACCCCCCTGCTAGTCTTCAGCTGGATGTTATATAGTCACTAGCAGTCTGTTAATGGAAGAAAGGAATGTCTTAAAACTCAGAATGGCACCAGGCCCCTCATCCATAAGATGCATTTTGGATAATCTTGGCACCAGATGATTCATCCCAGGCCACAGAACGATTGACTTGAATCTTGTAGAAGGGCAGATTACCATACAAATAGTTTCGTTTACATAAATTAGGGCAACAATATCTGAGTATAACATACTGGTTTGTAAAGCAGGTTCTGAGCCATTAGGCAAACCAACTTGAAGACAGTGTCTGGGGTAAATGCCTAGCACATTAACATAGCTTAAGACAAACATTTCCATAAGAAAAATGCATTGGTTAACTCAAGGTTTGAGAATAGTTAACTTCAAGTGAAACCAGGTGTCATTAATGGCAACACAGTATTTTAAGAGAAACCTCCTCTTAAATTTGTATCAGTTCAGTTCAGTTCAGTTGCTCAGTCCTGTCTCTTTGGGACCCCATGAATCCCAGCACGCCAGGCCTCCCTGTCCATCACCAACTCTCAGAGTTTACTCAAACTCATGTCCATTGAGTCGGTGATGCCATCCAGCCATCTCATCCTCTGTCGTCCCTTTCTCCTCCTGCCCCCAATCCCTCCCAGCATCAGGGTCTTTTCCAGTGAGTCAACTCTTTGCATCAGGTGGCCAAAGTATTGATTCAGCTTCAGCATCAGTCCTTCCAATGAACACCCAGGACTGATCTCCTTTAGGATGGACTGGTTGAATCTCCTTGCAGTCCAAGGGACTCTCAAGAGTCTTCTCCAACACCACAGTTCAAAAGCATCAATTCTTTGGCGCTCAGCTTTCTTCAGTCCAGCTCTCACATCCATACATGACCACTGGAGAAACCATAGCTTTAACTTGACGGACCTTTGTTGACAAAGTATCTGCTTTCCTTCCAAGGAGTAAGCTCTTTTAATTTCATGGCTACAATCACCATCTGCAGTGATTTTGGAGCCCCCAAAAATAAAAGTCTGTCACTGTTTCCATTGTTTCCCCATCTATTTGCCATGAAGTGATGGGACCAGATGCCATGATCTTAGTTTTCTGAATGTTGAGCTTTAAGCCAACTTTTTCACTCTCCTCTTTCACTTTCATCAAGAGGCTTTTTAGTTCTTCTTCACTTTCTGCCATAAGGGTGGTGTCATCTGCATATCTGAGGCTATTGATATTTCTCCTGGCAATCTTGATTCCAGCTTGTGCTGCTTCCAGCCCAGCGTTTCTCATGATGTACTCTGCATATAAGTTAAATAAGCAGGGTGACAATATACAGCCTTGATGTACTCCTTTCCCTATTTGAACCAGTCTGTTGTTCCATGTCCAGTTCTAACTTGCTTCCTGACCTGCATACAGGTTTCTCAAGAGGCAGATCAGGTGGTCTGGTATTCCCATCTCTTTCAGAATTTTCCACAAGTTTATTTTTCCATACATTTGTATAGAGAAGGAAAAAAAAATCACTAGTTTGTGTCCTCCTGCTGCTTAAGAGAAATAAAAATGTCTGACACTTGCAGCCTATTTCCTCCATTTGGAGACCCCTGGCCTTCCTGCTTGTTATCCTCTCACTACCTTATAAATGTCACTTGTTTACTAGCTAGTTCCCACAACTGTAAGCAGGAACATTCATCTGTGTTGCTCCCAAGCACGTAGAAGATTGCCTCACACATAGTCAAATAACTATTTGCTGAAATTAATGACTTTCCTGAACCTACAACTACTCTCCAACCGTATTAGGTATTAAGGAAGGTAACATCCAAAACTCTTAGAAAGCAAATAAGCTACCTTCATAACTAAATTTAACCTGGCACATTTTAGGCAATATATTAGCTGCTAGTCATGAAAAATGATGAAACTCTACTTACCCTGTACAAAAAATTCTGTAAAGCTTATCAATCACTTGAATATTCACTTATTTATTCAATAAATACTAATATGCTAGGCACATGTAGTTTGCCCAAGCAAAACCTCTGAAAGAAATAGCACTTAAAAAAAAAAAAAAAAGAAAGAAATAGCATTTATCATATTAACATCTCCCGCAGCTAAATGGACTAGGGAGAATCTCAGGCTATGGACACCAATGCTTTAGACTGAACTAAACCAGTATTATGTTCTACCTCTAGAGAACTGGAACAGAGACTCACATAGATACAGTCAAATGGATGGTAGTTGGAACTGCAAGGTGGTGATGAAGAGAACGGCTTGGGCAATCATGTCAGGCAGTGTAAGTGAGGAAGGTGTGGAGGGGGCAGACAGACAAGAAAAGTGCTGCTGGAGAATGACAGTATGATTTCCAAGCACAGAACACAGGCTTAGTTCCCAAGCAGCCAGGCCCAGTCCTCTGACATTCCACTTCAGACAGGCTTCCTGCCCTAACCTTGGGTTATCAGCAACATTGCTTTACAACTGGTTGTATCTTTACAATACTATCCTTTACCCAAAAAAGCCTGAGTAGTTCTGTTTACATCTTTCCATAGGCTCCAACCTACCATATGTACTCCAAAGAAAAGCATTTAGATAGACAAGTTTTTTTTTAAAAAGTTATTTATTT